TGTGTATATATATATATATATATATATATATATATATATATATATATATATATATATAATGCGGCGAGGTAGCCCTATAAAAAGAAAACCAACTTCGCTCTCTTAAAGCTACTGTTGCTGCAGCGCTGCTCTTGGTACAGAGCTGCTGTTGCTCCAGAGCTTCCGGCGCTGCGGAGCTGCTTGTGCTGCTGCCCCAGAGTTGCTGCTGCTCTTATGGTTGATGTTGTTGTTTGTTTCAGGTCGCGGCTGCTGCGGGCGCTGCGGCCTCACGATTTTGCTGCACTGAGGGAATGCGTCAACCAACTGAAGGAATGCGACGAAATAAACCCCGCGGTGTACAAACACGAGGAGGAAAACTGCTTTGTGCGGTGAGCAGCAGCAGCTGCAACAGCAGCAGCAGCAGCAATAGCCACCTTCTTTCCTGCTGCTGTCGGTCCCCGAGAAACTCAGGAAGGAAAGGGTGTAATGCTTCGTAGGTTCTAGGGCCTATGATCGAGGGTTTAGGGTTTACTAGGGTTTAGGGTTTTGGTTTAGTGGGTGTTTTTAGGAATGTCCTTTGTTCAGGCAACGGGTGTTTGAGTGTCTCTTGAGGGGCGATAGCGGCGGAGAAGAAGCAAAGGAGAAAGAAGAAACAGACAATAGCGAAGAAACCAGCAAGAGAGAAGAAACAAACGAGAGCGAAGAAACAAAGGCAGAGGAGACAAGTGAAGGGCCTTTAAACTTCGCAAATGCCCAGGGGAATAATATAGAGGAGACAAATGCAAAAAAACAAAATATAATGGAGACGAATGTAAAGAAAACAAACTTTAAAAAGACAGATGTACAATTATCTGAAGGGGGAATCGAACGCCTGGCGTATCCTTTGCTGCTGGAGGCAACGAATGCAGAGAGACTTTTCTTGTCTTTTACAAAGATCAGCGACGCGTTCGTCATAACATATGAATTGAGGAATTTAGTTGCTTTTGCTGTTGTCTTCCTGTTCTGCTGCTCTGTCTTTGTTGGTTTGTTGTTGCTTTTTCTTGCTTGGTGTGTTTGTTTATTTGTTTGTTTGTTTGTTTGTTCGCTCATTCATTCGCTTTTCTGCTTGCTCTTTATTTGTTTTTCGCTTTTTTTAACCGCTTCCCCTTTGTGGATTTGCTCGTTCTCCTTTAGTCCGAGCTGCTGCTGCTGCTGCTGCTTATGTTCCCTTTGACTGTTTGAACGAGCTGTTGCTGCTGCTGCTGCTGTTTTTTTTTTCTTTTTTTGCTTTTATTCAGGTCGATGCTGGACTGGCACGTGCCCTATTTACCTTTTCTTCGCGAGTTATTTGTTGAAGGAACATCTATTTCACTTCTTTCTCTGTTGCTCTTCTCCGTCGTAGAGCTGCCGCGACTTGAAAGGCAAGCCATACGATACGCTGGAGGGGAAATGCAGAAAATATGAAATTACAGCAGACAAACAAAGAAAGAAGAATGCTGCACACGGTTCCAAGTGCAACGATACACTTTGTACATATTTCTTTTGTGTCTTTCTCTTCTGCTCTTTGTTCGTTTGTTGAGGCATTTATGAACTAAATAAGCAACAGACAAGATTTTTTTCTGTATTTATTAATGTATTTTTTTTAGGCTTAACGCCGCGTGCACAAAACTTCGTCCAGTGGAAGAAGACGAGGCATTGGAGGATACAAACCTGAAGGCAGCCATTTGCAATTCAGCTCTCAAGTAAGCATTTTCTTCTTTTTATGTAATAAAGAAATAAGTATATATATATGTATATTCATTTAGTGCACATAAATAAAATAAGCATCAATGAGTGTATTCAATTTAAAAGGTGTGAGGAAGTTCCTACTGCATGCAGCACGAGGAAATCCGCTTGCTTCTGAAGCCATTCTACTTTCTCTTTCTTTTTTTCTTCTCTTCTCATAAGCAAACAAAAAGCCAAATAATTGTCTACGCACTGCCTTTTGGTTTGCTGTAACCTGCTGAGCGATTTTCATTGTCGTTGTTTGTGTGCTTGCGTCGTTCCCTTTCTGCTGTATATATATATATATATATATTCATGCGCATCTGTATGCTTGTTTGAACAATGGTTTGCTGGCGATGGCTGTAGGACAGAGGACTCCGCGCTTTGCACTTTCGAATACAATTTGTGTTGCTGTGCATCGCTTGTTTTGTTTTTTCTAATTTCTCTGCATGCCTGCAGGTGTATTGATATCTCATGCACACCCCTAGCAGCCTCTCTGTCTCCCAGCACTTCGATTTGCTGCCACTTTCGCCCGAACTTCCAGAAAAGCCAGGAGGGGCTACGCTGTGTGCTGATTAGAGAGGAAGGCGAGGCAAGTAGGCGCGATCATGGAGATAGAGAGGAAATGTGCGGTGTGTAGAGACAAAAGAACGGATAAAGTAGTTTAAATGTGCAGACTACTAGTTGCATACAAAGCTTTGCCTGTGCTGCCTATTCATCTTTTTTGAATTCAACTCCAGCGGAGGCTTCCCAACACGTAGCAAGAGCACTAACGCGACGTTAACGGGAAATTGCCCGTCTCTGCTGCTTGTTGGCCTAGGGGACAGTTTGAAATCTACTTTTCTTTGTCATTGTAGCACTTAAATCGCCGCTTTCGCCCTTGAGGCGTTCCGGTTTACTGATATTTATTTACATGAGGGAAGCGGCTATCTCCGTGGAAGCCAACACTAATCGAAAGACGAGATGAATTGCGAAAGAAATACATTAGGACAGACTGTTACAGAGTTGTTGAAAGAGAGGAATCTCAACGAAAACGCAGCTTGAACGTGCAGCGTTCCTCCTAAGCCAGTCGCGACGGCTTGGCGGTGTGAGGAGGCGATGCGTCAATCTATCAAGTGTTGTTTCCGTGCAAATTGTAACAACGCGTTTACTATTGCTGGGCTTATTTTGAATGTTTATACAGTGATGGTTTGTTTACTTTCTCTTAGAAAGCTTGCTGCGCACAGCCTGAGCCCTCTGCTTCCTCGCCACCATTACCTTGAACCGTTCAAAGTCTGTCAGCGCGGCGCGGCGCTGCTTCGCTATGCGTCTTTTTCCCCATGCAGTTTCATTAAACTTTGCAATTACATCGTCTTTTTCCAGTGCCTTCCGCAGCGTTACAGAACGAACGCCGTGGGGGATCTTCAAACGCATGTCAGTGAGCGCCACACGCCGAATTGGAATCGCCTGACGCTTCACTCTGAAAAAAAGAACGGGAAGCGGCAGCAAAACTACTCATAAATGAGTCAAAAAGATGCATTCAAAGTACATGTATACCCTCAAAACTCAACAGACTTGTCAAACCCTCAACTCAGCACGAGAAAACATACGTTCATACATATGCAAGCATGCTGCATCATGGGTGACAGAAAACCCAAGAGCATTCATTTGTAAATCTCAAAACTAGACTGAATGAAATAACTGCTAATGATGTAATTTTCGTGGACAAGCTCATAATACGTATGCCGCACGCTGCAGCTGCAGCTTGCAGCGGAATTCGTTCAACTTACCCCGTCACGCCCGCTCCATCAACGAGGACGCGGTTGAGGTTGATGATGTCCACAACGAAGCAAAGCTGAACACAAAAAAAGAATAGACAAACGAGCAACAATCGATTAAAAAAAGAAACACAGAAAGCAACACAATTAACGAACAGTATGCCGGATCTCCGTTCAGTGCAGCATGCAAAGAGAGCCGGCACCAAACAGCGTTTCATTATGCCCAATATCCGCATAATAAAACGCAAACGATATTTCAGCAAACAAAAATTCAACGCATTCAAACGCCAAAACTGTTGGCTGAAACCTGCAACAACTGCATGCGAAGCAGGAGGACACCTCTGCCAAGTGCGCAGAGAAAACGTCACCGACTGGAGTTGTATATCATACGAACTTCTAAAGACAAACACCAACATCATCGGTAAGTGCATAATTAGAAAAATAAACGCCTGAATTCCTCTACAACGAAGCACAAGTGCTTGCATGCGGCACCCATGCATGTGGAGCGCACAGTGTGCTGTCGAAAAGAGGAATCAAGAAAAATCATTTGCTAAAGCATAATATTATAAGTTCAATTTGAACGTTCAATGAAATCGAATTATATGGAAAATCATCGAAAGAAGGCAGCTTAAGCTCCCGTTCAGCCCCCCACACTCCCGTATTTCGGCAGTAGTAGGCCCAGGAGCACGCAACAAAAACGGAAGACAAACAAAACAGCTCGAAGATCAGAAAAGAGCAGAAACGAAGCAAAGCACAACCGGAGAGAAAAGAGAGAAGTAATGCTTTCAACTTGCTCAGCTCACCTTGCCTTCGTCAGGACCATACTGCACCACGCACAGGCGGCCAGGCTCAATGAACCTCCTAAAGAGCGCCATTTTCGCCTTTCTTTGCTTCCCAACAACAAAAAGAAGTTCAATTATCAGCCGCCGGCAGTTTTCAGGTCTGCATCCTCCACAACTTAAACCAACTTATCACCAGCAGCCCCCGTGGCTCCCCCCAAGCATAGCAACCCCTGACGGAACCAAGCCCCATGCATGCAGCCCCTGATGACGAGCAACAATATTCAACTTTGATTTTTAAATGTATTTTCATCATAAATACAAGTAGATTCTTTCCATGCAATTTTTTTACATCTTGAAGATGTCTCGAGAGAGTCTTCCGCACGTTCGCCTCGCTGCAACTCCGTTTAAATCTCCGATAGTAAGGAGGGTCTTCGACTCTTGCTTTGCAGAACACAGCTGTAAGATGCAGTACTGACAAATACCTAAGCTTAGACTCACTAAAAAGCATAAGGTCCCCGGCGCCATCTTTATGCGACCTGGGAGCACCTGCACACGGACCTGCGGCTGATAGCTGTTCCCGTGAGCGTACGGCCTTCCATGTGTTTGAACGAACCTCGTTGCAACTCATGGTGAAAGCCAAACCAATATGTAAATGTGCGCATCCCCCTTCTGATGCGTCCAGCAACAATTTAGACAGTTTTTAAGCGCTGCCTTGGACTTCAGCACGCAGCGTGCGCGCCTTCGGAATACCTGAAACATCTTTAGGCACAGCATACTGCGCCTCCCTCTTCCTTGTCCCCCCAGCACCACATGCCATCGTGTGCCTTGGGCGCTTCCCAGAGGATAGTTCGAGCAAAGGGACTTCTCCTGGCACGCTTGCTGCTGCTTCTGCAACGCGTAGTGTTTCTACTGTTCCATCGGTTCCTCCTGCTTGTTTCTTTGTGTTGCGTCTTTTCCGGTGCATTGCGAGCTGTTGCATATTTGTCTATTCCGCTACTTGAGGTTGAAGACCCTTCCACTCAGACACTCTCTGACTTTGCTGAAATCTAGAGAAGGGGGCAGTATTATGTATCGCGGTTTCGCTTCATGCGCCATTCAGCCTTCAGCACGAACACCCATACCATTTACACGAGTCCCACCGACAAAGCCGATGTTAACGACTGATGCGTTTGGCTCTGTATAAATGTTCGTGAGTTGCATTGTTTATCATTCCTTGCAGTGCGTAGTGCCTTCTGCCGTTGCACTCGACCATTTGCTTGTATCCCCTGCAGGAGTCTGTGCCGTATGTATTTGCCTTGAATTCACTACTGCTGGAGGGCATCTGCAGTATTTTTGGCTTCAACAGCAGGTCCGCTTTGTCCTGCTTCCCTCATCGTAAAGTTTTTTTTCGAAGTATTCCCTGGCAGTGCTTGCGACAATTCTCGTTCTTCCTCTGTTGTAGAGTTTGTGGATTTAGTACAAGCATCTGCCTGTTGGGGCCTTGCGTTGGTCATGCTGTGGTCTACACTAACCGGCTAATGAATCTGTGGCAAAGCTAGGGGCCCTACCAGTAATGGTGCTTTTTGGAAACCCGTAGAGCTTTCAGCAAAGATTAATGACTAGTAGGGCCGCTCATTCTGCTGTCGGTGCGCCTGAGAAGTGGGCTAACTTGCTGATTCGCTAAAAGGAAATACTATCACAGCCGTTGATCGATGGTAAACCCACTGCGAAATCCATTGTGCATTCCTTCCGTATTTATTTAGTAGTCAGAAGACGCTACACGAGTCCCGGTTTGAAAGTGTTCCCTTGCCTTCTCTGTTGGCATTCCGGCGAACTGGCGTTCCTCTGCTAAGAGGCACATCCTAGGCCACAAAAACGGACTTGGCTGCCCGCTCCACCGTGGTCTTGATTGCATTGTTGCCCACAAAAAGGGTGGTTGTGCACTCTGCGCAAAAATTCCGTACGAAGCTGCACTAAAACGTAAAATCGACAGCATTCTTGTACCAGAAGAGACCGTCGTCTAAGCTGTAGCCATTAACTGTACACTCGTTGTTGAGAATGGAAGTAACTGCAATTGAAAAGCTAATATAGGGACCAAGAAAAAATCAATTTAGAAAGGAAGAGCGAGTCACTGCAATTAAACGCTGTTGGGGAACAAACTGCGTGAACAGTAGGGTGAGGAGATTATCGGTCTCCAACCACAATCGCGATTCATTTCCTATGACTGGCAGTTTGTCGTATTGCATGATGCACGAGCAGGGCAAAGCCGCGGAACAATTCTTCAGCTGTGGAAGCCATGAAGGCTCCCTCCCAGTTCTGTATGGGGCGCATGATCGGCTAGAATAGGTAGGTGCCTGCCGTACAGTAGTGACTAAAAATTGTTTTTTGTCCCCAGTATATCGCGTAGAGATCCTTTCACCAACCAAATGATTCTGCTCTCTTTCTGTGAAACAGTGCGGGAAGCAGGCGGTTATTTGGTGTACTCAACGAGTCCTATGCATACTGAAGGGGCATGACCCCAGCGAATATCGCTGGCTGTGGCTTCAAGGAATAAGAGTTTGTGCGGATCAGGGCACGTCAATACTGACGGCGATGCCAAGTTTTTGGTGCTCTATCTGGCGGCTTCTCTGTCCAAAAGAGTTGCTTGTTATTCTCGAGAAAGTTAACCAGATTGGACAGGGATGGAATTACGGTAGTTTGACGCAGGATAGAGAAAATTATGAACCTCGTTTTTGTTGCACAGGGGGGTTCCTTAGCCCGGGTGTGGCTTGGAAAGGCCGTAGCCCTTCTCTAACATCGCTTGCCAAGCAAGTGTCACTCTATTGCGAACAGTGTTAACGAAGGCACGAAGACGCGTGGGTATTCTTGCCTGTGCGTTCATATTGCATTAGGGGTTGCTACCTGCCCTATTTGCGAAGATGCCAATAGCGACTGTAGCAGTTCAGGCGCATTTTTAAAGACGAAAGTGTACCAAAATAGAAGCACAAAATTCTGCAGCCTCCATGGTGCTTGGCCTCTCACATTTTGACCGTCAGCAGGAGGGAAGGCAACCGTTAAAAACTAATGGAAAAAGCATTGGATTGCGAAAAGTGATTTTATTCTGATGTGCCGCTATCCTTTCTCCGCGCCACTTCCGAAAGGCATATTCTGATCATTCTCAGTTGTTCAAGATGAGAAGAGGCTGAACAATTAAAAGGAATTTAAGGAGAATGTCCAAGACACTTCTTGCGGTTATAGCGCCTTCGCAACATATTAGTGCTATACACAGAACAGACAAGCTGTGGTGGTGGGTTCGTTTGCTCGTGCCTTCCTCTCTCAACCATGGGGTGCCACCAAATGTAACTAGATTCCTCGATCTTAGTCGAGAAGCGTCGTGAACTGCAATAGAATAAAACACGCACAAGAGCTGCTTACATGCAGTTAAGCTCCCCTCAAGCCACCAGGGCCTCCGTGGACAACCACACTAGATCCGGTTGCTGGTGCGGAGAAAAGCCGCGCAGGCACGAGTTTGCAACGCATCCTGCTGCATGCAACCCCTGGTGCACGGCAGCCGCGCGTACACGAATGCCCACGCTTTCTTTTAGTGCTCGTCAAGCACTGTCCACAATATTGTAACACTTATTTAGCAGTCACTAGCTAGCCTGAGCGCAATTAGGAATATATTGCGCAACTTCCGACAGACCACGTTACAACCCAACAGTCGCTGGTGCATAGTTCCCAACCTATGGTTGCCCATTTGCGGCACTAGAAGCGATATAAAACTCGAAAGTATTTCTTGATTTGACTGTATGGTGGAGGTTTAATAACTGTTGAAACTGAAATGCTCTAGGTAGCTCAGGCATTCAATTTACGGAACCTGCGGCCCACGTCTCGCAGTGGGATGCCAAGCATAATAAGCCTTGTATTGGGACCGGTGAATCTACGGTTTGAAAACAGAACTTCTAATCATAATTTTCTTTTCAATCAAAATATTAGTTGTTTTAAACTTGTTTGAGATGGGTCGGACGCTCGCCGGGCAGCCGTAGCCCGGAGATCGCATGTTCGAATACTACTGCTGTGGCTTGCGTGCGGCGGGGGTGACTGTTTGGAGAAGAAACTTCATTGTCATTCAATAAATCCCTCGGCAAAGTCTGTAATTTTGTTTTTATATTGTTTCCGTTATGATCTGAGGCTCTATTTTTCGCGCTTTCGTCTGATCTCACCGCTGCGTCGTCCAGCAGCTTCGGTTGCAGCACAACCAGGGCTCAAGTGCGAATTGTGTTGCCTATTTGAGGAAACATCTTAAGAATGACTTCAAAATATAATACTTCTACAACTCTGTAGCGTAACGGAGTTCGCATTTCCAGGCCGAACGCCTCATCTCCCGCCGGTTTCTGGCGTCGGCGGCGCTCGACTGCTTCTGAATCTTCTATGCTTATCTAATGGATGGTGGATTTCGTTCGTTCTTGTCGTTAAGAAGTTCAAACCCAGCAGACCCACTTGCTCATCGCATCTCTTTGACGAATACTTGACCATTTTACTCCGCTGACGCCGACACCCACACAAAGAAGACAGCGGCGTTTATTCAGCGAATAAGACGATTTTTTGAAGTCTAGGCAGCGATAATCTTGGCATTGAGTTTGAAAAGAACGAAAAGGGTTGATATTGAGATACCTACCACCATTTTGTGTTTCCTTTCGAGAGGATGCCGCCGCCGTTGCTGCAGAGTTGGTCTTTTCTGCACGATATATTAAATTACTCCACAGCGATCTTCTGGCTGCTGGCCTATGTGGCTGTTTTGCAGAAAGTTCATAAGGAGAGGAATGCATGCGGGCTTTCATTTCAGACGCTTTTTGCGTTGGTATTAGTTGAGGTCAGCAATGTGTTGCTGATATTGTGTCTGTTGTCCTATCACAACAAACCATTGAACGCAGATTTCTTCCTTGTGGATTGCACTTCAGCGATAATTTCGATTTGTGCTTTTGTCTATTTGTTCCGCAACTTCCGGCAATCCTATGAAAAACAACGTGATACCTTTGGGCAGAAGTATTTGCGTCTATTGAAGATGCCGGCAGCGTGCGGGCCTCATAGCCATCTCTGTTTTTTGTATATTCTTTCCTTTATTCTGTCTTTCACGATGTTTATTTTGCGTCGATCTCCTCACGCTCCTTCAATTGGAGATGTCGCACGATATGGAAATGGACGGGTAGCTGCAGGCATGCTGCTTTCTTTCTGGGAATGCTTTAATGATAGCGTATTGGCTCTTGCTTTGCTGCCTCAGCTGCAGATGTTTTACAGTAGAAGACCGCGCAAGGTCTCTAATCTCCTCGGCACTTTTGTCGCTATGCTCTTCTGTGCTAGGACATTGGCTTTCATCTATTGGTCAGTCTTCTTCTTCGTCTTCTTCCGCTTCTTTTCTTTGTTCTTGCGATGACTGTTGTTTTTTCTGTCTTTAAAGATTATTTCCTCCTCTTCGGCGAGCCCTTCACCACCATCACTTGCTTTCTTCTCCCGTTCTGCTGCTGGGTCTAGGGTTTAAGATTTAGGGTCTAGGGCATTAGGGTTTAGGGTTTGGCGGCTTCATCATCACTCCCAATGCTGCATGTGTGGTGTCTGTACTGTCTAACTGTGCGACAAAGCGAAGATATCCCAGCGTAATATCAACAGCCATCTTTTATTTATATTTTCTTGCTCTGTTGCTGCTGTTGCTGTCGCTGTTTGCAGGCTGTCGTTCCCGCTGTTTCATAGGAGTCAACCGACAGGGCGAGGCATTCATTTGGCTACTGAGGCTTTGAACATTTTAATTTTGTTGGATTTTCTTTATTATTACGTCAGGGCGAAGCTCTCTGGTCAGGAAGATATTGCCTTGCCGATTTAAAGCAGGGTGTTAGAGCCCTCTCGAGGTGGTTCCTGCATGCAAAGACCGGCAGCTGTTGACAGATGCATAAATGCAAACTGCCTGCGAGTTTATTATGTGTGTTATTCTTACGTCTACTTTTATCCTTACTGCCTTGAGGAGGTAAAGACTGCAACTGCGGTATATAACGTTTGCTGCTGCTCGATATTTGTCGCTTAGCAAATGTACAACGTAAAAACAACAGTGTTCAGCCAACGTAAAAACATTTAAATATTCTCTCGTTCGAAGACTGAAATGTCTTCATGTGGAGTAGCAACTAATTAGTCGACGGTAGATTATTTTATTGATTTACACGCTAGGGGGGCGGCGGCGAACGCCTCTTTTCAGTATTACAATAGCAGGAATATTATAGTATGATAACCATAATATAATGCTAATATTATCGCTGTATTAGCTTCACGCCACAGCACCAGAAACAGCAAGACGAGACACCAGCGAATGCAGCAAATGCTACTGCATAGAGACCACACGAGGAGTAAATAGGACGGAAACTCAAAGATAAATACCTTTTTTGCGTCTATCACAAGCTGCAGAAGACCTAGTTTGCCACCGAATTAATATCATTTGCACAAATTAATTATTTTTCCCCTTGAAGGACAGTGTATACGTTGGGTGTCTGAACGCCCTGAGACATCGCCTGCATGTCGGCAACGCATGGTAGCCGGAACGAGCGAAAGAGTCGCTCTAAAAGATTTGAAAAATGAATTTCAAATAATGCTATATAAAACAGAATAAATTAGCACTTTAAATAAATCTTTTTGATTGTTTTCCCAGCTAAATCCACAGACATTTACCGCTGCGACAACGCTGTGCATGCATGCGGCCGCTATATATAAGGTTTGTCAAGACAGGGCTGCTGGGTAAGGAATAAATATGAATTAAATGTTTTTTTATTATTCTGAATGTATTTGTTTTGTTGTTTTTCTATAGTGTAATGCTCGAGTTGTTAGCGGCTTAACTCTTTTTCCTTTTCCTTCTTCTTCCCTCCACCTCAGATCCGCCGGCCAGCGAAAATGGCGAAGTTGAGCCGCAGCGCCTGCAGGCGGTTTCTACCCTTGCTTTCTTTTTTTGTTTATTTTGCTGGTTTCATCGCTTCAGCCTCTGCACTTGTGCCAGGAATGGGCCCCACGGTAACCTCCACACGCTCTATTATCATCCACGCAGTACCCTACATTATTGCATTTGTTTTTCTCTATTGAACGATGTGCTGCACCGCACATCAACAGGAATACTAATGCTGGATCTTGTGTGTACATACAGCTGAAATGCAGAGTGGAGATCAGCTGCACTGACCACTGGCTCCCTGCTTTCTACTGCATGCGTCTGCCTACGTACGCACTTTTGTACAGCCTTTCCCTCTAACTCCGCAAAGCTGTACATACACTGCACGCGTTGTTTTGATGCTATCACAGGACTACACCGTCGGCCAACGCATTCCTGTCCAAGTTTCTTCGCTGCAGTCGGTGCAGGGAATTCTGCCCGTCGATCCCTACGGTCCAAATCTCCCTTTCTGCCGGTGAGAACAACTTATTTAGCATTGAACATGCATGCGTGCATGCATGCATACATCCACATATTTATCTATATGTGTGTCTGTGTCCATATCTATATATACATAAGTACCTGCATATCTCTATATCCATTGATGTATATGGATATGCATATATATAAATATATATATATATATTTCTATATCTATGTCTATACATTGATATTTTTATCTACATCTAAATATACACATTCCCCGTGCACCCATATAACATATAACGCATCTCTATTTTTACACATTTGCATGTACGTACACTTGGGCTCATATATATGTATATATATGTATATATATATATATATGATGCATATATGCATATAATATATTTATATATATATATTTGAATCTGCGGTTGATTTTTTTCAGTCCAGAGACGACGGAGATCGAAGAGAATAATTTGGGTCAAATGTTGATGGCGGATCGCGTGCAGAATTCTCCTTATGAGGTTCGATGTAGTTCAGGTGTATAGGCAGCTCTAGCATTGGGTATAGGGGGCGGGGAGATCTGGCTTTAATCAAATGGATTAAACTGAATTAATTTATTTGCTGCGGTGTATGCACAGATCGAATTCATGAAGAATGCAACATGCAAAACTCTCTGCAAAGATGTGCCTCTAACAGAAGAAGTTAAGGGACAGCTGCAGCGTCTCGTTAGAGATAAATATATGTTTCAGATGTAAGTTAGTATATATATATATTATATAGTATATACACCGCAGCGTATATCTGCTGTGTATATATACCCAGTAAGCGCATTATATTCGGGCATACCACAGATAAGATTCTGCCGCTTTTGGGTCTACTGTAACAGTGCGTCAGCTCTATGAATGCATGCATACATACGTGCATGCATGCATGCATACATACATGCATGCATGCAATTGCTTTATGTGTGTTTTATTTGCTGCAGGATTGTCGATCAGCTGTACGCGCTGCAGCTGGTGCAGCGGCCCAACGGCACGAGCGGATATACCATTGGTGTGCCTGTGGGGTTCGAACGCGAGGGGCGCGTCTTTATCTTCAATCACTACAGAATTATTGTGCATTACCACAGCGACACGGAAGACAAACAAACTACATCGGTGGGCGGGAGATCTTCTTCCTTTGATGCGCTGTCTGTGCAGCTCAGAGACCTGCGCAGACACCCCAGCAAATGCAGCTGGGCATTAGTTGCGGCTAGCTGACTAGCTAGGCAAACGATGCCTATGTAGCACTAGTTTCTACCGAGGCAGACCCCTAGCTAGCTAGCTAGCCAGCTAGCCAGTTGTCTTTCGTACATGTTTAAGCTGTCGTGTTTGTCTGGTGGGCTGTGCGTTTGTTTAGGGCTTGTTTAAGCTGCCTTGGGGCTCTGATTCTCCTCAGTATCGCATTGTGCGCCTGGAGGTAGTTCCGGTGTCTGTACAGCACGAAGTTGATGAGTCTGACCGTTTGACTTGCGGGCTTCCTTCAGTGGATCAGTTGCAAGAGAGTTCAGCAGTTCCTTTGCAGACGCCTCTCTCATCTTTGGCTCCTTTTAGCTTTCGAGCTGACGATGCAGCAGACGGAGCAGATATCAGCGAGACAGGGTTGGATCCCCTATATTTGAGTTTCTCTTACGACGTAGTGTTTCAGCCAAGCCCTATTCTATGGAGCGAACGATGGGACATTTACCTCGCGAATGCTCGCGATAGACCGCTCATTCATTGGTTTTCAATTGTGAATTCTTTGGTAGTGTTGCTGCTGCTCTCGGCGCTAGTAGCGATGATACTGCTGCGCGTGCTGTACAGAGACATCAGCAGGTACAATGACCTCTTAGCAGACGAAGAAGATGCAGAAGAAAAAGGCTGGAAACTCCTCCATGGAGATGTATTCAGAAAACCTGCACATTCAACTGTACTGGCAGCTCTGACAGGATCAGGAATGCAGGTACGCCCAGCCATGCAAATTCAGGTGCACAGGCAGATAGTATACATATTTGCATATATTGGAGCGAATAAAGAAATATCTACGCCCAAATATCAGACAATATATTCATTATTTGATGTGCAATTCTGCAGTTAGTAGGCATGGCCTTCGTTACGGTTATTTTCGCTGGCCTTGGCGTCTTTTCGCCTGCATTTCGCGGGAGTTTATTGCAAGTGAGTTTATTTGAGGTGTATGTACACCTCAAATACGCATTTCCCCCCTATATTCCTGCTTCCTTTTCCAGCTCTGTTCTAGCTTTGTAGTCTACAATTTCTACGAATGCTGCGACTTCAGACAATCCTTATACTCTGGACTGTTATGGGGTCTGTTGCGGGCTACACTTCAGCGCGAATGTACAAATTATTTAAAGTAGGTGGTGGCTTGTGGTTGTTTTCGTTTGAAGTTTAGTTTTTAGTATTAACGCGTTTCGAACAGCTGCATCTCCTAGAAAATGCTGCTTCTCCAAGGCACAAACAGTTGCAGCTTGTTGACTGATTCGATGCAAATACACGTAAAAATAGTAAAACAACAATCACACACTTCTTCCATTCGCACCGCTATTTATGCTGTTATCTGCTGCTTTTGCTGCTGCTGCTGCTGCTGCGTTGCAGTCTGTGAACTGGAAGATGACGACCATCCGCACGGCTCTCGTATTCCCTGGGGTTGTTTTTTCAGTGTTTTTCCTGATGAACGTCGTCTTGTGGTCTCAGAGGTCTTCTGCGGCTGTTAGCTTTACGGGGCTGTTGGCTCTGCTGGCGTTGTGGTTTGGCATCAGCATTCCTCTCGTCTTTGCAGTGCGCATGCATGCAAACCTTGATAAGAATAAAGTTATTTAGAGATGTAGATATATATATAAACATGCACTGAGACAGACACCTCAACAAACAAATGCAATGAGGGGAACCGGTTGCTGTAGAAGAGTACGCAGAGATGCTTATTGCCTTTCTTTCCCTACGAATTTAAACAGAATAGAAACAGTGCACGCATGCATGCATTTCCATCTATTTTTATTATTGCATTACTTTGTTCTGTTGCTGCATGCATTTGCGCTGTCTCTCAGGGTGCTTACTACGGCTTCAAACAGCCAGCCATCTCTATACCCGTCCGCATCAACAAAATTCCCAGACAAGTGCCGCAGCAGCCCTGGTTTATGCATCCTGCGTTGTGCTCGATGGTTGGCGGGGCTTTGCCTTTCGGGTAAGCTTAGTTGCAGCAGCAGCAGTAGCATTTGCAGCAGTAGCAGCAGCATCAGCAGGACGCAGGCTGTTGTGGGATGTATGTACATCCCACAGCCATCAACCTGATTTTAATTCAGCACGCGCTGTACGGTGTATCTACACATCACCAGCTGGTGCTTCGCTTGTGCTGCTGTTGCAGGGCCATGCTGACGGAGCTGTTCTTTCTCTTCTCCTGCATCTGGCAGCACCGCTTCTACTACCTCTTCGGTAGGAGGGCTGAGCTTTTTATACCCCTGCACACTTTAGTTGAACTGGAATGATGTTCAGTTGGCTGCTTATTCAGTTTCAGTTGCATTTCAGTGCTTTACCTAAAGCAAACAAACGATTGATTTCGCATATCGCCGGCATATCTATTGATGTACAGTCTATATATATAATGTATCTGTGAGAGTCTCGTCGGTTATACGTACATATATACGAATGATATACTACACCGGCCTGTAGATGTCTGGCTGCTGTTGTCTTTCGCTTTGTTTGTATTTTGTTTTCAGGGTTTTTGTTTTTGGTGTTAATTATTTTGTGTGTGACGTGCGCGGAGATTTCGATAACTTTTGTATACTTTCAGCTCGTCTGGTGAGGAGTTATTTATTTATTTATTTTTCTAGTTTTGTTTCTTTAAGGAGGCGTTTCCTTAGTTTTTAAAATTGTTTTTTTCCTTCTTAACTTTTGTCTTGTGCTGCAGCGAAGATTATAACTGGTGGTGGCGCTCCTTCTTCTGCAGTGCGACCAGTGGGGTGTATGTTATGCTCTACGCGGTTTATTATTATCATTCTCGTTTAAGTCTGTCTCATACTACCGGTTCGCTCGTCTACTTCGGCTATTCCTTTATCATGGCTTATGGATGCTTCATCCTCACCGGTGTGCTAACCCAAACTCAACAACACAGACAAACCCTAAACCCTAAACCCTACCCATGCTTCCAACTCAAAACCCTAAACCCTGGATACGCTGATGAGCCGAAACCCTAGTCCCTAGTTATACTTCGGTCTCCCTATAAGCCCTAGCTATTCTTCTGAGTCAGCACTATAAACCCTACACTAGACACCCTAAACTATAAACCCTGTTTATGATTGTCTAGAAACCCTAAACCCTAGCTATACTGCAGACTAGAAACCCTAAACCCTAAAATCTATCCCTACTACAAACCCGAAATAATAAACAATACAACACCAAAACAATAGAACCGAAAACCTAGCCAGAGCTCTGATACGAAACCCTAAACCATAAACCCTATCTATACTTCAGAGTTGAAGAACTAAACCCTAGCTGGAGTGCTGTCGAAACCGTAAACCCTAGCTAGATGAGTTCGTTATCAGGAGCCTGAGATTTACGCATATACGCTAATTTGCTGTGTTGCGCTGCAGGGGCTGTGGGTTTTATGGCCTCTTTCTTCTTCTTGCGGAAGATATACTCCTCAATCAAAGTCGACTGATGAGTAATAAATAATATACCAACTTACCAACAAGACGAGCTGCTAGGACAGCAGCAACAACAGCGACAAGAATAACAGCAACAGCAGCAACAACAACCAGAGGAATTTGTCTGTCTCCGAGGGCTGCGTCCTCGGGCACTGGGTACAAACATTTTCAAGAAAAACAACAGCAAAATGAAAAGAAATAAATGCAACAAACAACCTCAAACAACAGAGCCGAGCCTCCAGCTTTGTCTTTCATGGGGGCTCACTACAGGCGCACCGGCAGCCTTCTATCTGGTCCCTTGAGGGACTAAGATTATTTATATTTGCATGCGAGTATATATATATATATATATATATATATATATATAATATGCATATATTTGTACATTGGGCATGGATACATACGCTCATACACGTGCAGTGTGTGCAAGTATGTACAGTGTATGGATAAGCTGGTATATCTACAACTGAATGCTCAGCAGCGGCTTGAAGTAAGATGATAAAGGACCTCTGTGTTGTCCGTCAGCTGTCGTCGGCATCGATGTCTGTCTCCTCCCATCCCTTGGGCCTATATGCATATATATACATATATGTAGGCTTCAAGATATATATATATATATATATATATATATATATATACATTGAAGCGGATGGGGTGCGGGGCGTTGGGATGTATGTACAGCTGCAGCTTACAGTTCGAGCAGCTGGTCGATTTGTTCTTCTGGCACTGCCAGTCTGCTGCGTGTGAATTGGCCTGACGTAGCGTATGGAGGGGAAATATAAATATGCAAAGGAGAGAGGCGCCTCTGAGAGCAGAAAACAAAGCGCACGAATAACAAATATGTTGTCCGTCCATCTCTCAAACGCAGCCCGAGCAAAGCCTATCTCTTCTCGCAGCTGTTGCAGACGTTCAGGGTCACAGGAGGAGACGGCGCGGAGTTCTTCTTGGATATCGCGGAGGCGCAACTCCAATGCACTAATCCTTGCCTGAACTTCCGCTGCTTCCTTCTCATCCTGTTAGTCAGCGGCGGCGTTGTTTGATGAAGTATATGTACGCCACAGCAGCGAATACATAGGTCGACCTACGGGCACTTCAGGGCACCCAGCGGCCTCCAGTGGGGCCCGGGCTGCCAGTAGCTTCGCCTTCTGAGCCCTAAAATTTCACATGTGCTGAAAGGCTGAGCAGCAGAAGGGTTTGAAGGGGGGTCTGACCGCAGAGCTGTTAGGTCCGCGTCTTGCTGTGCGAACGTCTGGCTTTTTAGGGTCCTGTAATAAAACGTTTATCGTGATTTATGCCTTTTGATATCTTTTAAACAAAAACAAAAAAAGCCACAGAAGCGCAGTACCAAAAAACTGAAGAGGCGGCGACTTTGTCCGTCTGCACGAGATTTTCATCAAGCAGCATCTTGACCGCATCTTTGGTGGCAGCGATTTGATTTAATTGAAGACAAAAAACTTGGAAGAGAAGAATAATGAAATAAGTGCTTACCTTTGGCTTGCATGCTTCTATAACCCGCTTTTTCTGCGAGTTTCTCCATTTCCTTCGACCCGAAAAACGAATCGGAATCCAAAAGAAGTTTGTGAAATGCATGCAGCTTTTCTTCCGAACTTTGCTTCGCCGGCTTCACCATTTTTGTGAATGCGTTTCAGACAATATAAATATATTCAACAAAAAGGCTGAATTAGAAAGGCGAAATTACTCAAGATTTTACACTGACATGTCTGCATTCGCACCAAGGTTGTAGCAGCTTTCCCTGCGGTGTACAGGCACCTCTGCATCTGCAGCTGCAGGCAGCGGCAAACTGAAAATAATAGCGCTAAAACTTATCCGTTTCCTTTAGACTAGTGTAGGCAAAATTTTATTCGTTTACTGCCTTAACTGTATTCAAGTCTGAGGGGGAAAGAAAGAAGAGGACAAACAAATACAAAACAGAGCACCTTGCCCCCCTAAGACAGTTGCAATGACAGCAGCAACTGAACCTCTCAACTTCGAGGCTTCATTCAGTTTTTAAATACTGGGGCGGCACCCCTTCAGTTATCTTAAAAAAAATGCCCTTCACTATCACGGGCGAGCGAAAGTTGCACAAAAAAATCCGTCCATTCCCCTTGATGTCGGCAGCGAATGAAATGGAGGCTCCGTCAGGACAAGTCCGTGTTGCTGGCAGAAGAACTTGGCCTGTAGTTCCAGCAGAGAAGAAGAACAGGCAAAGCGCAGACGACCACGCACGCACGCGTATTGCTTTCAATTATTTATTGTGCGCAAGACGGAATCCGGTGCGCTGAGGTGCCCGTAACGGTCGAGATAAATCGAAGGAGATTGAGGCCTACCTGATGAACGTTCTCCTCATCTAAGATGCTGCAGGTAATGTAAACGATTTTGCCGGTTTTTGGCTTCACATATTGCAAGGCGCTGCTGAAGATGTGACGCTGGAGCGCAATGAAATCCATGAGCTGCATGCACGCGAACAACCCCTTGTTGTCTTTGAATGCCTTTTGTATTCAAACAGAATGCGCAATATTCCGCATGAACTGGACGCAGCATGCATGCGTCTCTGCAGCCTCACCTTCTCGTCGTTGTATTTCCACTTCATCTCTGGACTCCGCCGCAGAGCGCCGGTGCCGCTGCACGGCACATCGCAGACGACCTGAACAAAAAGAGCGGCGCGAATCTGCACTCGAGGCATGCTTTTAAGTCTACGAGATGCAGCAAACAATAATGCAAACTGTTGAAAACAAGATGCAAACTGCAACGGCCTATTCGTTTGAGCTAGTGAATTGTGAATATGCGAATAATACTCACCCAATCCATTACTCCTGCAAGTTTGGGTAGAATGGGGCTTTCAGGCTGCACGATGGTGTAGTTTGTGATGCCTGCTCTTTTCAGTCTTTTCTTCGCTTCCTGCAGCATCCTCTCCCTCACATCATGCAGATATATTTTTCCCTTATTCTGCATCTGAGGGCCAAACGCCAGCGTCTTGCCGCCGCTGCCAGCACAATAATCAAAAACTTTATCTCCCGGCTTTACCTGAAAAGGAAATATATTGCGCAAAACACATCGACGACGAACATTCAAAATCGTCAGCTTTCTGAGCGCTTTTTTAACGCTTTCTGTTACCGTTTCAAAGTGGGCGGCAGCTTCTCTTGCATAGAATACTTGCGATATTAAAAATATATACAAATCTATTGCAAAATTTATTTCTATTTCGAAAACTAGTTCATAAAAATGCAGAGAATGCTGACTCCAAAGGCCCGCACAGCATACAACAAGCTCAAACCGCGTACGGTTTCTTCTACTGGATTTTGAAATCGAAGTTCAGATGTTTCAGCAATTTGCATTCGTATAAACTTAATTCAAAAACGAGCATCTATAAAACAGGAGAAGTGCAGCCTGGTGAGTCTTGAATATCTTAATAAATTAGTTAAGTGCAGTTAATTCAAGGCAGAGTCGATACGACGTGTTTTTTCTTGCTATTGCAACTGCTCATGATGAAGAGCTCGCTATGTTCGCAAGCCCTGCGGACCCACCTGCACCTTGAGAGCTGCCAATTGACTGGCTTCATCTTGAATTTCGAAATATCCGCGGAGAAACTCCGGTAGATCGCCCAGGCGTTGGCGGTGAGGAAGCACCAAAGCTAAGGGGGAGTTGGGGCTCTTCTCTACAGCGACGCCTATGAAACACGGCGTAAAGAACAGCTGCAGAAGTATATAAACTGCATCTTTAACTTCAAACTAATGACAACAATACTCTTTGCCCTGGAATATTTTCAAATTAAACTATCTCAGCAGCACCGCCAGTTCTTTCGCGGTTAGAAGAGAAGGCAACCGAATTCACTTGCCTTTGTTTATTAAGTAGTTGTACAGCCGGTCGCGAGTAATATTCAAAGTGTTGGTGCGAAGATATACCGGCGCCTCTTCATTTAAAATATTGCAAATATGAATTGCCTTTGCAGTCCCATGAGAACCTTCAATACGCTGAAAGAGTTCACCAGGAAATGATGTGCGTACAGCCGCAGGCAGCCGTTCGTTCTGTGTCTGCAACTTCCACCTGCAAACACGAGCACAAATGCATCCGTTTCATTCGTATGATTATTACGTACAAGTCGGCAACCCACTGCAGGCAAAGGTGCAGCTGCTGCAACTGATATAGCTGCTGCACCTGTTGGAGTTGCTGCAGCTGCTGGAGTTGATGGAGCTACTGGAGCTGCTGCAGCTGCTGTAGCTGCTGCAGCTGCTGGAGCTCATGCAGCTTGAAGAGCTGCTGCAGCGGCTGGCGCCGCTGTTGGAGCTGCTGCAGTAGGACAGTGTACAATTGAAGCGCTGGGGGGTCAAGTAACAGCAGGAATAAGAAAGCCCAATGGAGTATGCATCTTCACCTGTCTGAGACGAAGTATGTGCGTATTCTGCTGGGCCAGGAGGCAGGGGGTGGCGTGATATGATCGAGGAGTCCTTTCCACTTAACGATTTGATAGATATGTTCAGTTATGAACTTCTTATCGTTGCTCCCAACACTTTTGTTGCAGTTGTAATAATGACGTAGAAATAAATCAAGAGGAAGATGGCCTGTAGATTGAGGAGAGTAGTACAACTGCAGTGCTTGCTCAAGATGCCGTACGCGAAACGCATTCATCTTGGGTATGTTCTTCACCTTTTCGCTGCACGCTCTTCCAATGAACACTTCAATTCTTGCCTGAGATTATTTTTCCACATATTTTAAGACAAATCACGGGAAAGAATCATTAGAGTTTCAACACTAAAGTGTGAAAAGGATCGCGCGTTTTCCTGCATATTTCACACTCCTGTACAGAATACCGTGCAAAAAGAGGCTCAGGAAGGCATCATTCGTCCAAATCATGAACCTAATTAACAAACTAAATAATGCTTTTTGTTTTTTTAGCACTTTACACAAGGCACACCTGAAGATCGAAGCTCCGGGTCTTGCTCCAGCCAGTCCCACGCTTTGGCGAAACCTGCATGCAAACCAGATCTTTGCCTACTCGAGGTGCGGTGAAACCGCTGCAAAAAATGCTTTAATGACGGAATGCATTGAAGATAATTTGCTTTAACATCGATGAAACGTGAATTTGTACTCCATTCATTCTTCGCCTCCTCACCTGCTGTCGGTCGGTGACTGACGCGCGCCGACCGACTGCATGTCTTCTTTCCTTCAGTTGCAAATTGAAATTCTGCATTTCAGTTTCAAGAAACCAAAGATTAGTGTTTATATTTACAGTCAAGACGAGAGTAAATAATTTCTTTTCCCCATCCGATGGCAGCCCTACCGATGGCTGGCACTGAATAAACCCTCTCCCGTGTTGCGGCTGTTGGTTCTCATGAATGCTGTCCTTCTTTGTTTTCCTATAAATCGAGTGAGGTGAATTCATAACGGCGGATTATCTTCCCTTTCGTTGTTGGAGAGGAGTTGCAGAGGGTCTGAAGTGTGCCTGACGGAGGCTGCGAGACCCGGGCTGCTGCTGCAGCTGAGGCGGAGTTCTCCCGCCTGTCTTGAGGAGCTTTTTGCCGCCACAATGTCCATTTCAGCAGGCGCAGAGGAAACAAGAGAGTCAGCAGAGTCTGCTCAAGGAGCAGCAGCTGGCAAGGGCAGCAGCAGCTTTTCACGCGCCTCGCAGGGTCCCTGTGGGGGTCCCACCGCCTCCCCCTCACAGAAAAAGCGAGAAGATGCTACTGCTGCCGCTGCTTCGTCTGCATCAGCAGCAGAGACAGTTCGCCTGATAAGCATGGAGGGGAAAGCCATAGATGTGCCGCTGCACATAGCAGAAGAGTGCGAGCTCCTGAAGCGAATGCTGTCCGGTACATTCACGGAGAGCAGATCACGAGAGCTTCAGCTGCAGAACATTCGCTATAATATTCTATGCAAAGCCGTTGAGTATCTACGCCGCAGGCACCAGTGGAGGGAGGAGGGGGGTGCCCCTTTGGAGTTTGAAATTGAACCTGAAATCGCAGTTGACCTCCTCATTGCTGCGGACTACTTAGGGATGAAGTAGACTCTTCAGATGTTTAAGCTGCTGCTGCTGCTGCTGATAGTTTAGCCTGCTGTTGCTGCTGCTTATATGCCCTCCGTCTGCACCAGCAGCAGAACTTCTTATTATGCTTTGTGTGCCGCTTCCTTCGCGAGGTCGATCGGTTTGCCGGCCTTGGGCGTAAAGGGCACCACCACTTCTCACGCAGTGTATGTACAGTGCGACTTAAAGGGTTTATCTCATTTACCAGTTACAATTAGGCAAGACAAATGATTTCATTCATTCTTCTTCCTGCAGCCGCAACAGCTGCGGAGTTGCAGAGAATGCAAGCAGAGGGGGGAAAGACAAAATTTTGTACTTTTGCAAACTGAACGTTTGATTGAAAACAAGAAATGAAGTGCTATGAACGAGAGGCAGTTGAATTCCCTTTGCTTTCTTCCGTTTGCATGCGCATGCGTTGCAGCTCCAGGCAAAAATTGATGTTTAATGGAAATGGCAATAAGAGGAACACTTTTCGCTGCAATGTTTGATTGCTTTGCTAATAGTAATTAGTTATTAATCATTATTATTAACACAACAACCGTTAATAGAACTGCTATTAGTAGAACAACTATGAACAAACAGTTGTTCTGTTAATAATAATGATTAATGATCAATCATTATTATTAACAGAACAACTGCTAATAATAATGATTCATAATTAATCATTATTAAGAGAACAATCAACGGCTGCAGATCGGCATACAGAAGAAAACAGAAAAAATGGGTTTTGATAGCCCTCCTCTTCGGTGGGAAGTAAATCTAAATCTGTGAACGCATGCAGATTGTACAATAATTGAAAATAAATAATATTTACTATTTTATTCTACAATCCAATTGTTTATTTTGCTCTATGAATTGCATTATTTTTACTCGGTGATGTTTAGAGGCAAAACTCGAGAAAATATGCAGTGGGTTTAATGGCTCAAATGACAATTGTCTGCTGTTCTGCGAAGAAGACTGCATTGATAATAATAACAATAATGGTAATAATAATAATAATTAGTAATAATAATCATAATAATAATTTGTTGTGGAGCGGCATAACTTATCTAGTCAATCGAATGCTGCAATAGGCGGCAATACTACACTTAATAACAACACCAGCAACATCAACGACAATAGTACTTATAAAAAGTAGTAATAATAAAGTAATAATAATATAAATCATTAATAATAATGAACTAATAATTAACAAAGTTAAATATGTATTAGTAATAATACATATTATTACTTTATTATTATTCCTTTTTATTATTGTCGTTAGGGTATACCAGCAACACCAACGACAATAAGAATAATAATACTAGTAAAAAGTAATAATAATAATAATAATAAGGAATAGTAACAAAGTAATGATAATGAGTTGTTTATAGGTTGCCCTGTATACGCTGGAAGATGCCTTGTAAGACATGTCTAACACCTGTGAGGGGCACGAGAGTTTCTGCTTCTCCTTCTGTTGCTGCTGCAATTTGCCTTCTTCCCAGGAGCTCCAGTGCATCAAATATATTATTTCTTTGCTGCATTCTGCTGCCTTTGGTCTTCGGTATGTTCGCTAGCCACGCAAAAAAAGATCGCCGACTACCAGCATCACCGCCCCACCCGCTCTCCCACTTCAGCACCCCCTCTGCGCCTGCAGCAGCAGCACCAGAGCTTGCTGCAGCAGCAGCAACCTCCTTCTGTGCTGCTGAAGCATCCGCACCACACCCTGCCCCTGCATCTCCTTCTGCTTCAGATCCTGCTGCTGCTGTGCCTGCAGCACCAGTTGCAGAAGCAGCTGGTGCGAGGGCCTCTCGTGCTGATTCTCCTGCTGCTGTTGGTGCCCCTGTTTGTGCAGCAGCAGCAGCTCCGCTGCATCCTTCTGCGCTGTTATTGTTGTCGTCGTTGTTGCTGCTGCTTTCCGCAGCAGCAGCAGCAAGTGGCCGCGCGGATGCGTGTTGACTGTCTGGTAGTTGGTTGTTCACCATGCCATTATTGCTGCTGCTGCTGCTGCTGTTTGTTTCTTGTGCTTCTCCCCTAAAGCATTTAAAGAAGCGAAGAAGTGCGGAGTCAGCGGGGGAGATGGGGCTCGCTAGAGTTGGGTGGCTGCGTGCCCTCTGAAGGAACGAAGCTGCGCCGCTGTTGATGCTGGCCCCCATTTCTGCTGCATGTTTACCTAAGGCTTGTAGGAATTGAATGCAGCGCTGATGAAGAGGCTGTGGAGGCCTTAGTATGCCGACAAGGCGCTGAATTGCTGCTTTGTTGTGCGGTTGCTGTACGTACAGCTGAGCTGCACGTTTGAGGGCTTCTAATTTGTCTTTGTCTGTTTCGTCGATCGACACATTTTCAATAACTGGATTAAAACGAAAATAGACAGAAGGAGGCAGCAAATCATGCAGCAGCTGATGCACAGCTTCGGTGTTCGTAGCAGCACCTACAAGCTGAGTAAAGACAGCCTCCCACCCTATTCTTTCGTTGCATCTTTCAGCAGCACATTGGCCTGTGCCTACACTTACAAGTACTTCAATAGGCGCCTCAGGATACAGCGCACGGGCCTCTGCAACAGCTACTGCTGCTGGATTGTTTGCAAGCAGCGCCCCATCAATTACTGTCTCTCCCCCAACCTTCTTGCCGCTAAAGAAACCAGGTGCTGCTGTTGTTGCTCGCAGCGCGTCTCGTACTAACACGCAGCAAGACCCTTCATATGTCCCGCCCCCTCCTCCGCTTGCTGCTGCTGCTGCTGCTGCTGCTGCTGCTGCAGGGGCACCGGCAGTGGCTGTGCCAGCAGCAGCAGCAGGCCGCAGCAACTGCCGCAGCAGCTGCTGCAGCGAATGCCACGAAGAGGGGCCCCCTTGTGTCTGCATTTCTTGCTTCCTTTGGGTGCAGTCTTCTGTAGGGGTCGTTGGATAATTATAGTTCCGCCATACAACGAGTTTAGCTGGGTTTGAAGAAACATTTGTTGATAAACAAAATACTTTAGGGGCGGTGCTGTCAGCAGCAAAGTCAATCATCCTTGCCTCTCCAAAGGCCCTGAAGAGTATAGATTCCCAGAGGGTTTCATCATAGTATGCCTGACGCATAACAAGGCGAGCCCCTGCTACTGGGGCTGCATCTTTAACAAATATCTCTCTTATTAATGCATCATAGAGGGCCTCGAGTTCTGCTGCTGTTGCGCGCTCAAGTCCAAGCAATACTGCCAATACTCCCCCAGTAGAAGTGCCGCAGATAATATCAAATGATGAACTCAGATCGCCGCCTAATGCTGCAGCAATCTCTTTCAATATAGCGACTGTCAATACACCTCGAACGCCTCCTCCATCTAATGCCAATATACGCAGCCCTCTCTGGCCTGATCTTAGAGGCCGCCACTTCTCCGGCCCCCACACCCCAGCAGAAACAACAGAAGCTAAGCGTAGAGGCCCTGCAACACCCAAAGAAACTTTCTTCTGTCGATCAGCTGGAGGCAGAAGCCCCAGAGCATCTCCACGCAATTCAAACCCCTGCGGGACCCCTACGAGGGGCCCCCGCCCCTCTTCATCTCCCTCATAGACATACGTAGTAGGGGCTTCCCTAACACCAACGCGCCTATCAGCACCTCCTGCAGCAGCAGACGCACTCAGCTGAGAAGAGCAGCAAGCAACCACCTGCTGCAGTGCTTCCCGCAGCAATACACAGCGCTGAAGCAGAGGCACCATCACCTTTTCCTGCCGTGTAAATAATTCGTACAAAAAATTTAATGCTGCTAGCTGCACTTCCTCCCCCTGGAGCTGCTGCTCCACGCTAACTGAAGCTCCAGCCCCGCAATGCCAGAAAGCCGAACGACCCCAGCATGAGTCGCTGTTGCTGCTGCTGCTGCTGCTGGTGTAAGGGGCGCTCACGGCAGCTGCCAAACCTGCGTCGAGACTCCGTCCGCCACTCCCAATTCCAGACGCGCTGCTGTTGCTGTCGCTGTTGCTGCTGCTGCTGCTGCTGCGCAGCTCTTCAGCCACAGTGTGCAACACATCTGGGACCTCTTGGCGCACGAGGAGGGTCAATGCCTTGAGGGCCCCCAGCTGGCTGCTGCGGTGGGTGTCTGCTGCTGCAGCAAGCAGCACGCGAGTGCCGTGCTGCTGCGCTGCAGCATGGCTGCTGGGGGGCCCCGTAAGCAAACAGAGAGGCTCAAACTGAATCCTCTTCCCCTCAGCTGTCAATACGCCTGCAAGGGGGTGTTCGCTGCTGCTGCTGCTGCTGTAGCTGCTGTAGCCGAGCCCCTCCTTCTCTCCTTCGGCACAAGGGGAGCAGGCGCCTCTGCTAGTCGTCTCTTCTTCGGTAATAGCGATGCCTAAAACCCCCCAGGGCCCCCACCTGGGGCCGCCTGCGGCCTCAGGGGCCCCCAGCTGCAAATCCTGCAGCAGCCGCAGCAATTCAATTTCTGTCTCAGTCAGCCCTTGGCAGCGATGCTGCTTGGCAGCAGTTTGTGTATGCAGGGCCTCCACCTGCTGCAGCTGCTGTTGTTGCTGCTGCTGCCGCAGCTGCTCTGCGACCTTCTCCTTCATAACCGAGGCCACCGCCTCCCCTGCAGCAGCAGCAATCGCAGCCCAGAGGCCTCCGCTGCCGACTCCCCCCAACCATAGCGGCACCCACAAGACTTTTTGCTTCAGCTGGCGTTTGGAGTAGACGCCGCTGGGGCTGCGTGCTGCGGTGTACATACACCCCATGCATGCAGCTATGAATCGCCCTAAGCCAAACCAACTCCCTCGGTCTTCTTTTACTTCCTTCTCCCCTTCAACTGTGCCAACCCACCCGCTATCTTCCCCTCTCTCTCTCGCTGCATTCGCTGCACCTTCATGAACAGCAGCAGCAGCAATAGCAGCAGGAGCAGCAACAGCAGCAGCACCAGGTCGCTGCTGCTGGGCTGTGTAGGAATTGGCTGGAGCCCCACATGGAGGGGCGCCAACAAAAGCTTGGGGCTGCACCGAGTTGTGTGCGTCTCTTTGCTTGCTAAAGGCGGAGAGGAAAGAAGTGACGCGAGCCTTCAGCATACTCAAAGGAGAGCCGGCCGCAGCGGGGCCCCCAGGTGTCTCCTGCAGCACCAAGGGGCCCCCCTCTAAGCCCTCAGCTCGCCGCGCCTCCAGCCGCTCTAAGAGAGAGCGAGCGACACCTTCTGCTGTACCTTGAAGCAGCAGCAGATCCCCCGCTGCCTTCTCCTCAGCAAGGCACGCTGCTGTCGCTGCTGCTGCTGCTGCTGCTGCTGCTGCTGTCCCTGCTGCTGCTGCTGCTGCTGCTGCTGCTGACGTAGGCATGCCTGCACGACCGTGAGACGAAGCGTCTGTCTTTGACTCGGCTGCTAAAGCCGCCTCCATGCCTCCTGCTGCTGCTTCTGCTGCTGCTTCTGCGGCTGCTTCTACTGCTGCTTGTGCTTCTACCTCTGCTGCTGCTGGGGTTTCTTCCCTACCTACGTGTTTGTTTGCTGTTGCATGCATCTCTCGGTTGGCAGCAGAAGGAGACATTAAATCTTCTTCGCTGCCCTTCGCTGCAGCAGAGGAGCTGCAGGGAGGAGCAGCAGGAGGCCGTGATGTTTGCTGCTGCTGCACTGCTTTAGGGGGCCCCCCTAAAGAAGATAGCTCTTCCTTTGTTGTCTTCTTCTCTTCAATTTCTTCTTCGCAGGACTTTTCTCCTTCAGACTGCAGCATTTGACTCGCCACCGCCTGGGCGCTGCCGTTTGGCTTGGGGGCCCCCGGGGGCCCCAACCCCGCATTCTGTCCTGCGGCTGCACCTGGCTTACCATCTGCTGCTGCTGCAGTTGTTGCTGCTGCTGCTGCTGTTGCTGCTACGTCGGCCGACCCAGTGGGCACCTTCTCCCCCTCTGCAGCAATTCGCCTTAGTGCTGCCAGCAGCCCCCGGTGGTGCGCGATCTGCTGCTCGACGTGGGGGCCCCAGAGGGCTAACTGCTGCAGCAGCTGCAGCGCATTAAGCTGCAGCTGCTGCAGTTGCTGCAGGGCCTTCTGCCGTTCCCGCGTAGCTGAGGGGTGGGGCCCCCGCTGCAGCCAACGGGGCCAGAAGGGCCTCGGAGTTGGGTCACTCAGAATGCGGCTAAGTGCAGCAAGGACGCCCCCCTTAAGCAGATATTCTACTGCCCAGTCCCCAGTCCTGCTAAAGCATGAGCTGCTGCTGCTGCTGCTGCTGTTGCTGCTGCTGCTGGTCGTTGTTGCTGTTGCAGCGCCACTGGCAGGGGCCTCAGGAGGGCCCCCCGACAAGACCACGCAGGCTGTTGGCTGTGCTGCCCTTTGAACGCTCTCTGCTGCAAGAAAAGCTGCTAAGGCGTTGCTCGCCACTGTCTGCTGCTGCAGCGAACCCTTTAGAGCCTGCAGCAGCTGCTGCAGCACTGCACCAAATGCACAGATCCACAAAGTGCGTTGGCTTGCAGTTATCTATAGCCCGCCTCAGAGACTGCATGCACTCTACAAAATAGTATTATAGCTTACTAGAGTAATAATATTATATTGTATTATAATATGTTGTCTTTATTACTGTAAGATATATATATATATATATTTCTAGTTTAATGCGGATCCTTATAAGCCTTAATAATAATTTATCGTTACTGTCACCGAAATTTGTTATTCTATTGCTGCAAATTATAATAATAATTTCATCTTTAGTTTTATCGTTATTACGACGAAGTAAAATAATAATGCCACTGACTGTCAATATAACTTCAAGCTGTGCTATATCTAACCTACTGCATCTACTGCCCCGCCAGCAGATAAATAAACATAATAATCTTATTATTCTTATTAGTATTCATATTGTTATTGTTGTTGTTGCTGATACTGAGCTCTAAGCATGCACACCATAGGGTGTAACGACAGAGACACTCGCTCGTCGCTTATTGTTGTGAAGCAGAAAAACAAAAAAGTGCAGAAAATATAAACAATAAACAAAGACGCACAATATCTTACCCGCTGTCTCCAAACCAAGCGAACCCCGGCCTTGCCCTTGAAGCGCAGGGCCCCCTTCTTCCTGTGATGCAGCAGATAAATTCCTAGCAACAGCACCGCGGGCGGGCGTGCCCCGCTGTTGCTGCTGCAGTTGCTGCTGCTGTAGACGGGCGTCCTCCCTGCTGCCGTTAGCGAGTGCTCGGCGAGCCGGTGCTGTTGCTGCTGCTGCTGCTGTCGCTGCTGCACCTGTGGGTGTGGAGTCCCCCGCTGGGCGCCCCTTTAAATCTTTTGGTGTTGATATTTCTGTTGATTTCTCTAAAATCTCCTCTTCGAGTTTCGCCGCCCCAGGGACGCCCACAAAACTTCGGGTTTCATTCAAAGCCGCCTGCTTTGCTTCATCAGGTGCTGCTTCTGCTGCTTCTTCTGCAGCTGCTGCTCCTGCTGCTGCTGCTTCTGCTGCTGTTTCGTCAGCAGTGGCAGCGACACCTACAGGGGCGTCTTCGGCGTCTTCAGCTTCGTTGGGGGCCATTGGCTGCAGCTGCTCCTGCTGCTGCTCCTGCTGCTCCTCCTGTTGCACGGGGAGTGAAGGCCTTTGCTGTCTCGCCTGCAACTTTTTGAAAGCTCTGCTCTGCCTTTTCAGTGTCGCTTGCGTCTTATGGTATTCATGAAGAGAATATAATTCTTTTTCTTCGCTGCAGCCTTCGCCTTCGTTGCCTCCTTCCGCTATAACAGTTGCAGCTTCTGATGCTACGGGGGGAAGGGGGGCCTCGTCGTCCGCCAGTGGCTGTTGAGTGTTATTAGTGCCAGCACGTTCGGGTGTATGGACAGCTGATTCCTGCGAAGAGGAGGAAAAGGCCTCGTGTGTCTGTGCAGTTGCAGAGGCCGCAGGGGCCTCAACAAACCCCAAAGACGCTTTCAAGGGCCCCTCTTCGCTACGTATTAAACCCGCAGGGGTTGATTTGTTTCTTTGTCTCCCCATGGTCTGTGCGACTGTACACAGAATTCGCCGGAGACGCGTTGTAAACCCTGCATATTCAACTCCTTCTTTGGTGGCAGTTGCCGCGTCTGTTTCATTCTTCTCCTCTCTTCCTGTCTGTGCATGCTGTGACTGCAAGGCGCAGTCTCTTGCGCTGTAGTCCTCCTCTACTGAGTGGTCTTCAAGAGCTGAGAGAGGCGAATGCGGTGGAGAGCTCAAAAGAGGAGAAAGTGGCTGCTGCTGCAGACTCCTGCCGCCCCTATGAAACGATTCGTGTGTAGGGGGCCTCCCAAGCGCATGCAGCTGTACAGACCCGATGACGCCATTAATTGCGGCAAATACGCCTCGTCGAAGAGAGCCTGCAGTAACCCTCCTCAGCAGCTGTTTATTCGTGCTGCTTTCGATGGGAAACCATGCAAAGGGACCAACCGATCCACGGAGGCTGCCGGCTGCTGAAACACCCGTCTTGCTGGGTCTGTCTGTGCGTGTGTTTGCACTGCAAGGCCGCTGTAAAGCGATATCTGATTTGTTTTCTATGGGAAGAAGTCTCGGAGAGAAGGCTGATGGACTGGATTCTGTAGACGGTGCCGAGGGGGCGCCCCTTCCGGGGGTGCGGAAAGAACGGCTTGAGGTAACACAAAGACAAAAAATGGAAATAGACAGCCAAAGAAAAACGTACCAACAAAAATTAAACGACGTTCCACCGAATTTAAAGAAGGATCGCGACGAAACCCGAGGTGATCTTGAGAGCCCCCGAGTGCGGGAAGCGCAGGGAAAGAAGCCGAACATGAAAGAGAAACCCACCAAACATCCCTGAAAAAGAATATATAACAGTAATAAACTAAAAAATGATATATCAGGAGGTTCCAGCAGGTAAATACGCACAAAATATCCCGCGAAACCTCACGGGTTTCGGCTGTCTGGGCACGCCATGAATCAAACTTGAACTGATTGTGTACATGTGCATGAGTGTGTTGATCTCGAGCCTCTGTATGTACGAAAAATAATCTTTTTTTCTTTAAATAAATTGCACTTTAGGCATTAAATGCTTCGTAAATAAACCCTTTCAGGGATTGCAATGCCTTGCATGCGTTCAAGGCCACTGCCGAGTCACTGGCTGCCCCAGTGGTGAGGAAGGGAAGACAAGAATAACTGCATAGCGTATTAATACAATTTTATTATATTTTAATGCATTTAAACATGTTATCATGTTTTAGAATAAGGGAACTTGATTAATTTCGACCAGAAGCGCATATTCATAAGGCACCAGTTGTACTGCACAGCTATCTCGTACCATGCCAACCTACTTAGGTTTCCACTTTATATCTATCGCAATACTCAAAGAATACTTACTAGGTGAACCTAACATAACAAGTAACAGCCTTTAAAACACATTCCAGCCTAATAACCGTAAAAACAGAGGCCAAGCACACTTCTATATTTTAAAGGATACTAAAAAATGCTAAATTTATGAAAACTTCTTGTGTGGATGGCAACGGCAGACTGTGTCTGCTCGTGTTGGCTGCGGCTCTAGTAAGGGTTTGGGGTTTAGAGTTTAGGGTTTCTTTTGTCTGGAAGGCTGCGGCATTCTTTTAACTATATGGGTCGCTGGAGCTGCACAGGCTTTGTACTACACACGCATACACCACACACAAAATGGCGTTTCTCTTCTTTTTCCTGTTGCTTCTACGCTTCTCCGCTGAGTTTTTCGTCATCCGCTTCTTCTGCCTCCGTTTCTGCCATTGTGTCCGCGCGTTTCTCCAATTCTTCTGCCTCCTTTGCTTTCTCACGTATTTGCAGCTTATTGAGTTCTTCTTGAGCGTGTTTTATTTTCTCTTGCGCCTTGTCAAGCTCCTTTTCTTCTTCAATGCATTCAGCATCTGTCAATTTGGCGGGTTGATAAACAAGCACAACCCAACAAATTATACAGTTAACACAAACCTGTATCTTTCCCTTCCTTCTCCTCGCCTCCCTCAGTCTCAGCAGAGGCGTCTTCTTCTGAGGGCTTTTCCGGGTTGCTGCCGCCTTCGTCTTTGCCACTCTCAACATCTTCAAAAGCAGGAGCTTCTCCCTCTGCTTTGCTTAGCTCATCTTTTTCAGCGTTTGCTGCAGTTATTGCATCAACTCATCGCCATAGTTAATTTGCTGCGTCTCTTCGCCTCACCGGCACTTCCTTCTTGTTCATCTTCTCCGGCTGTGCTATCTTCTGCCCCAATTTCTAATTAACACGAATTAAACGGTGTCAGAATAGCTGTAGCTTCAAACCTTCATCTTCTTGCGGGTCTTGCAAGTACGCATGCGCCTTGACAGAGGCGAGAACGGAGGGTCCTATGGACGTTAATCGTGCTGTGCGTGTTGCAGAAGGGTGCAATTAATCAAAGTCGTACGCGCGAATTTGTCATTAAAAACTAAATTTGAGGGAAATCGACGGCGTTCAACTGCAGAAGGATCGCCAGTCACAGCAACGGCGATGGAGCCGTCGGGGTTTTTGAATGGCCAGAGGGCGCCGTTTACCCATAAAAAGCAGGAAATGAAAAGCCGGAAAAACATCAGTATATCTTTTCAAAAAGAAGATGCAGCTTTACATGCATAGGTATGGCGTTCTTTGCGCTCATTCGATCAGCCAGTTGAACGGCTTTTTCCAGGTGTAGGCACAGCTCAAGCAGTGCAACTTAGAAACGTGAAAAATCCGATTTTCCAATTAATTTCAGATTGGTTCCACTAAAGCCACCATTAAATTGCTTTTTTCAATTAATTACCGTTTTCCTTTTAACAACACCAAATGCAGCGGTGTGTACACTCGAAATATCCCAATTTGAATTTTCGAGTATGGACTCAGGGGCGAATTTCAGCGTCGGAGGTAAGTGCCACGTTCGTATTTCTGGGAAAATAATTATCAATTTTCATATTTTATTCTTATTCTTCATTAGAAGGTGTTGAAAACGAAGAATACATTACTTTGGAAGGACTATCGGTGGCTGGGGGCCCTCCTGTGTCGGTGCTGCTGGGGCCCCCCGCGCCTTGTGAGAGGAAATGCCGGTTTTGCCTGCACTTGAAGAAGTTAAAAGTTTTAATTAGTTAATTTTGAAGCACACAAATTTGAGGGATAAGTCTATACACAAGGGCCTTTGCATCAGTTTCCTTCTCGTGCAGCTGCCCTTTATCGATTTCTGTTCTGGTGAGGGCGCCTGTCGGCGTACGGGGGTGGGGGGCAGGGGGGCCCTCAGCTGGGTTTGTTTGTACTCTGATCTTTATAAATAAGGATAATTATGTATTATTCAATGGTTATACAGGACGAGCAACAGCAGCAGAAACAGCACTAACGGCGAGAGTAGGTCTGCAGCAGCCAAATACGCTGAAGGGCTCCCTGCTTAGATTTTATACTCCCGGGTCTCTCCGTCCTCGCCATTAAAATTTAATCATATTTCGTTTTTGTTTGCAACAGCTGAGCCGCTTTCTGTCTTTGCAGCTGCAGTGTACAGACACCTGAGGGGGCCCACGCGGTGCCCTCTCCGCTTCTCCGCGCCGCTGTTCAGTTATATTTATTTATTATTTTACATTATTTTATTTTACTTTATTTCATTTAAAGCGACAAATTGCCGTCATGCGCTGAAGTCAAGGACAGCAATATTACAATGCTCAGGGAAGACAGACGCCCCCAAATATGGTGAGAGAACGAAAGAAGCAGAAGAAAATGAACAAAGAAGAATAAAAAGGCAACAATAAAACATACAAACATAATAAAATAAACAAATACAATAAACAAGCAAACACAATGGAATGCATACACATACTAAGCAAAATGTAGATAATACAGTAAAACAAAAGCAATTAAGTCTAACAACACAATTAAATACGCATATTGATAGGTAAATATCATAAAGTGCAGACAAACATAATAAAACAAACGCATTACAATAAACAGAAAACATTTTTATGGAGGCCAGCCAGGGCGTATTGCTCACACTGTGGTATATTTCAGCTGTACTCAATTCTACTGTACATGCGGCTTTCTAGACATAAAGACAAAATATATTAAATAAGCAGACTGAAGGGGCCCTCCCCTTCTTCTATACGTTGGGGTGTACGTACAGCTGATAGGCGTTTCTGGTTTAGAGTAGCAGCAGAACTGCGCAGAAAGCGGCTCATGTTTGCTTATGTATAAACACCCTGTTGCCTGTTGTCTTTCTTTCTGCTGCTGCCTTCTGTCCTCACTTATTTGACTCCGTTTGCTGCTGCTGCTGCTGCATGCAGTATTGTGGGGGGCGGGCTCAGCGGCCTGGCGACTGCTTTCTTCCTGCAGCAGCAGCCCACGCTGCAGCACGCGCACATACGGCTGATAGAAGCAAAGCAGCAACTCGGGGGTACATACACCCGAACTGATCTAGCGCATGCAGGCGTGCTGCTGCAGCTGTTAGACAAGCTCGAACCGCAGCAGCAACAGCAGCAGCAACAGCAGCAGCAGCAGCAGCAAACAACACCGGTCTCTGCCGCTCCAGCAGCTGTTACTACTCCAGCAGCTGCTGCTACTGCAGCAGCTGCTGCTGCTCCCAGCAGACAAAACCTCGACCTCCCGTCGCTGCTGCAGCAGATCGTGCAGCAGCGCTTCCCTTCAACTCGCCACCTCTCAGTGCCCCCTGAGATGCTCAGCGGGGGAGGCAGCAGCAGCAGCAGCAGCAGCAGCAGCACCAACACCGGATTTGTTCGTGACAGTGCGTGCATTGCTCTAGAGTTTGGAGCTGGGGCTCCTCACGTGCTAGCTCCTGGGGGAGGCCATCTGCTGCAGCTGCTGCAGCGTGTGCTGCAGCCATCGCAGCTGGCTGTAGGGCGGCGTACTGCTGCCTCTATTTTCTCACTGCGACGCGGAAGCAACAGCAGCAGCAGCAGCAGCAGCAGCACCAGCAGCACCAGCACCAGCACCAGCAACAAATGGGGGGCTCGAGGGGCCTCCTGGTTGTCGGCCTTGCGGTTGCCGCTACTGAGGGGGCCCCTCAGGGGGGCCCCCCTGTTTGAGTGCAGCCGCCCTGGAATATCTCGGTTGAATGTTTTGCGTTGTTTGTTTGTTGCGGTTGGAGAGGCTTGTTTAAGGAAGAACTCCGTCTTAAAGGAGCAGCAAAAGAGAAATATGTACAAAAACGAAGAAGGCAAAGGCGATTTGTCTGTGGCTGCCTTTGCTGCGCTGCACTCCAGTAAAGCATTCGCAGCAGACTTGCTGCTGCCAGCCTTCAATGCATGCAGCGGCGGAGGTGAGCCTACAGCAGCAGCTGCAGCAGCAGCAGCAGCAGCCGCCGCCGCGGCAGCAGCAGTGTTGTTTTGCCTTTGCTGCCGTTTACACCGGTACCTCTGGACTGCACGAACTCCGCACAGCCTCCTCTTCAACTGCTGCAGCAGCAGCTGCTGCTGCTGCTGCTACTGCAGCAGTTGCTCTCCGCTAAACTGTGGCCATTCTTCTGCATGCGCCGTCTTAGCCTCTGTAGCTGCCTGAGCATCTCGCTGCTTCCTTCCTTGTGCTGCAGTATTTGTTATTTTATTTATTATTGCTTTATATATGCCGGTTGTGTTGTATTCTGTGTGGTGTATGTTCACTGCGGTGTATGTACAGCTAAGCCTGAGGCCCTCTCCTCCCGAGCCTACTTCCCCCGTGGGTGGCTGCTGCAGCAGCAGTACGGCTCTCTGCTGCGAGGCACTTTAGCTGAGCGCCGGTTAGCAAGGGCTGCTGCCAGCAGCAGCAGCAGCAGCAGCAGCAACATCAACAACAACAACAGCAGCAGCAGCAGCATACCCTCTCCTGACGCAACAAATGAAGCAACGGCTGACAGCAAACGTAAAGGGCCCCTTCTCCTTCCCGTACCGGGATGCAAACCCTCTCCCCAAGGGCAGGAAGCGCTGCAGCAAATTGCGCAGGAAGGCGGAGGTCTATTCGCCCCAGTTGGAGGCATGAAACAGGTATAAACCAAGGGTTTAGGGTTTAGAGTTCAGCAGCAGCAGCAGCAGCAGCAGCAGCAGCAATAGCCAGAGCAGCAGTGGCTGCTGCTGCCATGCGAGCGATGCGAATGTTATTCTTCCGTTTAGTATTAAATTGCTTTGCTGCATTTATGCGTTTAGGTGTTGGAGGCCCTCGCCAGCTATATTTCCTCTCCCTCTGAAGGCAGGCCCCCTGTCTCTATTGAGTTGGGCTGCCGGGTGCAGCGGATAGAGCCGCTGCTGCATGCAAACGCCTGCAGCAGCAGCAGCAGCAGTAGCAATAGCAGCAGCAGCAACAACGAGCTTGGGGATGTGGGTGGCTCCGCTGCAGTTGTTTGCACGGAGGGTCGGCGGTTTACTGCGGATTTGGTGGTTTGTGCCTTGCACCCATTTGAATTGAGTTATTTAATGAAGTCTTCCGCATTAAAAGGAGAAAACAAAAGAAGAAAACAAGAAGAAAAAGAAGCAGCAGCACCTGCATATACACTGCAACAGCAACCCTTGAACAATTCAGGTGTAGGTACACCTTACGACTTCCTCGCTTCTCTCCCCTGCTCCTCCTACATTACAGTGCATGCATTCTGCTCGAGGGCCTCCCGCCGAGCTGCTGCTTTGGGGCGAGGCTGCTTCTATAGCCCTCAGCAGAGCGCAGCAGCAGCAGCAGCAGCAGCACCGTCGACAGCAACCGCAACAGCAGCAGCAGCAGCCGCTGCTGCTGCTGCTGGTTTGGATGCTACAGAGGCACTAGCTGGGCTTGAAGCTGCCTTCCATGTAGCACAGGAGGCCTTGTCAATAACAGAGTTGCAGCTCTTAGGAAATATTTACCCGCATGTTCAAGGGGAAGCATTGGCTGCTGCTGGGCGCTTAGAAGACTGCAGCGCAAAGTATCTCAACAAGCCGCTGCTGCTGCACGTCCATGCAGCTGTTGCAGTGCAGCAAATCGAGAGAACGCTACACAACATGCAGCAGCTGCTGCTGCCACTGCAACTGCTGCTGCAGCAAAGCCGAGAGCACCCGCTGCAGCAACAGCAACAACAACAGCAGCAACAAAAGCCTACGGTGCAGCTGCTGCAGCAGGGGCCAGCAGCAGCTGCTGAGAATGCAGCTTGCATGCGCGCGTTGGGGCTGCTGCTGGGAGCAGCAGAAGAAGCAGTAGACTTAGCGCTGCAGCGCGAGGGAATAACAGCAGCAGCAGATCGGCTGCTGATGTCTTCTCGGGTGTCTCTACAGGTGGAGCCCCAATGGCCCCTAGTAATAGACAAGCAAACAGCAAAGACAAACGCAGCAGCAGCAAAACACAGAAATAGATTGCTGCACCTGCTGCAGCAATTCGATCGACTACGCACCCAACACTGGACAGCAACCGCAGCACTGCACGCCGCATCCACGCATCTGCCTCTCAAACACCTTCACACAAGCAACTCACCAATAACACAGACAGCTCCAGAGGTGCCCCCTCAAAGGGCCCCCCAGGGGCCCCCAGAGGGGTTCCTGCAAAGACCCCCCCAAAGGGCCCCCCAAGGGGCCCCCCAAGGGGCCCCTCAGGGGGCTGCGCAGGGGGCTCCCCAGAGGGCCCCCTTGGGGCCCTCCTTCGGAGGCCCCCAAGGGCTTTCGCAGGGGGCCCCTGATGGGGCCCCTCAGGGGGCCCTCCAGGAGGCGGAAGAAGTGTCTATTATTGATAGCCCTTCAGAGGTACAGAAGAAAGAGGAGAGTGATGGTGACTCCGATGAATTATTTTTGTTTGCAAAGGCGAGAGAAGAATTTCATCGAGAGAGGGTAAAGAAAATGCCGTGGCTGCAGGTAGTGGGGCCTGCAGGATGTTTGGGGTGAGTTAATATGTTTTCTGTTTTGGTGAAGTTTATTTTGTTTCAATTCTTAGTCCTCTTGTCATATGTTTTATAATCCCCCCCTCTTCTCCCTCTCCCCCCTCCATTCTCTGCTATTCTCTTCTTTATTTTACTTTCTGTTGGGCTTCTTCTTCTTCATTCAATGCATGCATTCGTACTGAGCTGGCTTCTGTTTGCAGTGAATGGGGCGCAGGCGCCAGAGTTAAAGACGCCGCTGTACTCGCACACCAAATCGGCAGACGGTACGCAGTGGCTGTATATTCACCTGAATTAACTGTATATACACCTGAATTAACTGTATATACACCTGAATTAACTGTACATGCACCTGAACGCAGGTGTATGCGCATGCGTGTATAGATGAAAAGTGTATATGCATCTGCTGTTGGTAGTTAAACACATACCAGAGTGAAGTGTACGTACACCTGTGGTACTACTTCATTCAGTTGTTGCTTCTGCTGCCGTTTGCTTGGTTTGTGTGTTCTGATTATCTACGTTCAGTTTGCTCTTGCATAGATATTTCTCCTATTAATGTTCCTATTATTAAGGTGTATGCGGTCTCGCAGATTCGCTGCCTTCCCTCGGGTGTCTCCTGAACAACCTTCTGAATACATCGCTCGCCTCAACGGCGGATGGATGCTGAGGAGTTATGCTGACGCTGCTGCTGCTACTGATGCTGCTGCTGCTGCTACTGGTGCTGGTCCCACCTCCTAAGCATTAAAAAGGCTCTTCGCTGACGTCACTCCCACTCGTGCTGCGCTTAGTGTGGCCGCAATCATGGCTGCTGCTGCTATTGCTGTTGCTGTTGCTGCTGCTGCTGCTGCATGGCGGCAGAAACAAGGACAGCTCCAGCTGCTGTACCTGCAGCAGCGGGTAAATTTTAACAGCACCTGCAGCAACAGGGGCGGCTGCGACAGGAGCTGCAGAAACTGCTGCAGCAACAGCAGCAGCAGCAGTGCGGTTTACTGCACGAGGCTTTTGATATGGAGCCCCAGACCGTCTACTTTATTATCTTTTTTTTGTTTAAAGGGGAAATCAACCAGCTGCAGATACGAAGACAGCAGAACACCTCTGATTCTCCTCTCTATGTTAATTTAATTGAAGTGATGTTGCATTGGGGTTAAAGTGCAGCAAACAACAGCAGCAGCATCCGGTGTCTGTACACTGTTCTATTCTGTGTGTACATTGCGTACAAGCAGCAGATATAATGCAGAAGAAGTAATCAACTCAATTACTATTTGAACTTCTATACACTACACGTGAAGAAGTGAAATAAGAAACAGAAACAAAGACCAACGCCCCTTTGCTGTTCTCTTCATAGAAAACACGTCGCTAGCTACTGCAGCTAGCTAGCCACGTGCAGCTAGCTAGCCATATGCATCTAGCTAGTGATGTGCAGCTAGCTAGCTGCATCAGTCCGTGCGAGAGGAGGAGGAGTGTATAGCCTACGCAAGGAGATTTGTTGTCTATTATATACAAACCAATTAATTGCACCATTTCAGCCTGCAGCAATTAATAAATATAAATAAATAATTAAAAGCAGTACCTAATCTTTGTTTAAATGGTGAATAAACTAACTGATTGATAATTCATTCGGTGCTGCAAGTAGAAAGAAAACCCTAAGCTGTTATGCAGCAGTGCGTTTCGCATTTTATTGTATGTAATCGTACAATAATAATACTAATAAAAAGAATAATAATATTAAGAAAACTTCATTAATAAACAGCAAAAAACAAGGGGGTGAAAAAACAGACCCTGGCGTTTCCGCTAATAGACCTTGGAGAATATTTTATAGTAATATCCACCATAGAAAACGGCTTATAAACAAATTTTAATTGAATATTGAAGTGTCCTAGTGCATATATTTTGAATTTTTAATGCATCTTTATATATTTATTCAGCATAAAAAGGAAAGAAATTGCCCATGTGTGCAGCTCTTGCAGGTACAGACCAATGGTGCTGCACTGGTGAGTGACCCCTTACCGGAACGCTGGTCAATCCTTTTAGGCTAAGCATTTAGAGGATATATTTCTGAATGAATGAATTAATAAATATTAAAACCCATTTATTTATTATATATAAATAATAGTATTTTCCTCATAATGCAGCAAATAATAGGCCTTCTCCTCGTCTGAATGTGAAAACGCATGCCCAGCTGTATGCAGCAGCCCCGAAGAGGTTCACCAGCGAAGTAGCTGTGGCTGTCTTAGTCTTTGCTCCTTTTTTTTCTTTTCTAATTAAAATAACTATCCATTAATAAACATTTGCTAGCTGTTTCTTTTTACAGCTTTTTAGGCTCTTCAGATAGCCCTCGGCAGCTATACTACTTCTCACACGGCGGAGTACCAACCCCCCAACCTCCCTCTACACACTAAGTCTTTTTATATTTGTTCAAATCTTTTTAAAGTGAAGCGGGCATCTACGTACTGCATTTATATAAGGGAATGTTGAATTTAGATTCGTGAGGGAAGAACGATGTAAAAAGTATAACGAGGAAGAGAAGAAAGAGGAGAAGAAGAATGCAAGAAAAAACGGGTTTTTATATTTTCGTGTCCAAAGAAGAAGCAACTAGAAGGTTTTCTTGTTTTTGTTGCTTCTCCGGCTCGCTCTCAACGCCGTAACCTTCCCCCTATACAGGAGCAACCATCTGCGGGCCTTTTCTGCAACAGCAGCAGCAGCAGCAGCAGCAGCAACTGCAGCAGCAGCAGCTGCTGCTGCTGCTGCTGCGATGGCGCAGCTGTTTTGGGTGCCTCATCCAACAGAAGTATGGGGAGTGGCTGTGGAGGAGAAGGGGGGAGAAAGCTACAGACTGGTTGAGGCATTTGATTCGGAGACAGACGCAAACCACCTAACTTTTACCCCAAGCGCAGGAGAAAGATTGCAGATAAAACCTATATTAGATCCTAAGGGGCTTGAAGGTGCATATACATCTACCTAATGAACACGCCGCACTTCCTTTAGATATATGCTTGTTCACTTATTTCAATTAAGTAATCCAAATTAAACAGTTTAGGGTTCTTCTAGGAGTCAACCCATTGTCCTTTTGTTTGTTTGTTCGTCTGTTTTTCTGTTTGTCTGTTTGTTTGTTTGTCTTGTTTGTTTGTTTGTTTGTTTGTTTGTTTGTTTGTTTGTCTGCTTGTGCTTTCCTAAGTATTTGTTTTTGTTTAGACCCCTCTCCCTTCGCCGTTGGCTGTTGATCAGTTTGGCGACTTCATTTGTCTTTTTTGCATTCCCGCCTTTTACTGTTTTTCTGAATTTGTTTGTTGTTAGCGTTCTGCGTCTGTTCAACCTTCTTTGCATTTTAATATATTTTTGTTTGTTTTTGTTTGTTTTTGTTAGGGCGCAATTGCATGGTGTGTCTGCATTTATATTATTAAATGCATAATTAGATTACTTATTCTGCACTATAATAACAATAATAATATTCATTATTATTCTTTCTTTTTTTGCTTGTGAGGGTTTAGGTGTTGATAATATTTGCAGTTTGTCAGAGACGTCGGAGGCCTCGTTGCTGCAGACAGTGCGGCAGCGATACAAAAACAGTTTGATTTATACAAATGTAGGGAACATTCTTTTATCTTTAAATCCATTTCAATATCTTCCGGTGTATGGACAGACCGCCATTTCTCAGTACCTTCTTTCCGAAGACCCCTACAGCCTCAAGCCTCACATCTATCAAATTGCTGCTGCAGCATTCAAAAACCTCAGCGAAGAAGGCAAACCCCAAGCGGCGCTTATCACAGGAGAATCCGGTGTGGTGCTGCTGCTGCTGCTATGCCTTAGCGTTTAGGGTTTAGGGTTTAGGATTTAGGGCGTGATGCTTGTTCAAGCTCTAGGGTTCATAGTTAAGAAGGGTTGAGGGAATAAGAGGCTCGCGTTTAAGTTTTATGGTTTGAGGCTGAGGACAGCATTTTGCGTTTATTTTTAATTGAATAAATTATTACTTTGATATGTGGAGTATTTGTGCATTGCAGCATTTATCGATCAGGATTGCTGTCAGTGTGCGTCGAGCAGTTTGTTTGTTTCACTCCAATTATAATGCAAATTCGTTTATATTTTGTTTATCTAATTGCCGCCAACATATTACTCTTTCTCTTTTGCGTTTTAGGTGCTGGAAAGACAGAAACAACGAAGTTAATATTGCAGTTTCTGGCAGTTGCAGGGGGACGTGAGGGGCGATTAAGGGGGAGGGAGAGCAGCATTTCCGCAGCAAATAGATCAAATGAAAACTGTTCAATTGAACAAAAACTCTTAGAGGCAAATCCAGCTTTAGAGGCACTCGGAAACGCGAGTACAACCCGAAATCCGAATAGCAGTCGCTTCGGAAAATGGGTTGAAGTAATCTTCAGCGAAAACTGCGTTGTGATGGGTTTGTCTGAACATTAAACAATTAAATTATTCTTTTAGTCAAATATTTGTGATTGAATATTAAGATTTATTCAATTATTAAGATTTATTCAAGAGAAATAATGCGATTTCCTCGGCCACTTCGTACCCTACACCACTCGTTCTTTCTGTTTCTGCATGAAGACATTCCTCTTTGTTTTCTGTTCTTTAGTTTGCTTTAAGCTCCAGCAAAATGCCTTATTGTAATTGCATTTAAACCCCTGTTTAGACAAAACTTCTGTTTGTTTTGCAGGTGCTCGCATTACTTCGTATCTTCTAGAGGTGCCGAGGGTTGTAGGCCACGCAAAAGGCGAACGAAATTTCCATGTTTTTTACCAGTTGTTAGAAGGCTTGAGAAGTAGTTTGAAAGTGCTTCAAGGAGAATACCAATTAAACACCGAAGCGGCTGCCTTCAGCTACTTACAGCCCTATGCGCCCAGCAACAGAAGTTAGACAGCTTCAATTAAATTAACAGTAGATAGAGAACGTGCTAAGCTGCTTTGCCTTTATGCTGTATGAATTCTACTAAAGGTATACATCAATGCCTACAAAGCGATCGAGTTAGCTGCAGTTCTCATTCTTTTTAGTAGTGTTGCA